AGCCATTTCCTCGCAGTCGGAGGTGGAAGTGTCATGGATACCTGCAAAGTGGCTAACCTGTTTTCTTGCTATCCTGAAGCCGATCTGCTTGAATTCGTCAATGCCCCCATCGGTCGAGGCACTCCCATCGACAAGGTGCTTAAGCCTTTGCTCTGCGTTCCAACCACAGCAGGTACAGGTTCTGAGACGACGGGTACGGCCATCTTTGACCACACCGCCACCGAGTCCAAGACGGGCATTGCTTCCCGTGCCTTGCGACCCCTTTTGGGTATTGTCGATCCGCTCAACACCGAGACTTGTCCGACTGCGGTGCATGTCAGTGCTGGTCTGGATGTTCTTTTCCACGCGCTCGAATCGTACACCGCCATCCCGTACACCGAGAGGATGCCTAGGCCCAGCAACCCACTGCAACGACCCGCGTACCAGGGCCGAAACCCCATCTCGGACGTTTTCTCGTTGTGGGCGCTCAAGCAGACGGTCAAGTACCTTCCGCGTGTTGCCAAGGACAAGACGGATTTCGAAGCACGCGGCCAGATGTTGTTGGCCGCTACATTTGCCGGTATCGGATTCGGCAATGCGGGAGTGCACTTGTGCCACGGCATGTCGTACCCGATCTCGGGTCTCAACAAAAAGTTTGGTAAATACCAGCATCCTGGTTACGACGTCGACCATCCGATCGTACCCCACGGTGTATCGGTCGCCCTCACCGGTCCTGCTGTTTTTGAGTTTACCGCTCCCAGCGCTCCCGAACGTCACCGCGAAGTCGCAGCGATTTTCGACGGGTTGAGCAATGGAAGCGAGAGTGCAGATATCGCCAGACTGCCCGATACAGAGGTGGGCGGATTGGTTTACGATAGGATCGCCAAGTTCCTCGCAGATCTAGGCGTGCCGAGAGGATTGAGCAAGGTCGGATACGGACAGGAACACGTCGAGGCATTGGTCAAGGGAACCATCCCGCAGAGGAGGGTGTTGGATTTGGCGCCAGGCATCGGTGATGTTCAAGGTGCTGATGGTCACGAGCACCTCGCAAGGATCTTGGAGAAGAGTCTTTCCTATTGAAGAAGCAACAAGTGTGAGTAAGGGTTTGGCACAAACAACCGATTCAAGGATTGTACCTGGGTCGCATAGTTGATAGCTCGAAATTTCAATATGTAAAGTCGACGAGTGCAGCTGTAGGGCGAGATTGTGGTACACAGTGTGTAAAAATTGGTTCAAGAAGCAAGCCAGCAGAATGATATGGTGAGTTGGTTCAAGTGGGAAGAACAATGAGAAATGAGTGCTTTTTGGGTTTGAGCCTAACCGCCTGACCGCCATGATACGAGGGTCAGTCTAGAAGGCAGGCTTTGACAGGAGGTAAAAAAAAAAAGGGAAGAAAGAGAGAGAAAGAGGAAAAAATAAAAAAAATAAAAAAAATTGGCACGTGAAATTGACAATGTTTCGGCTCCTGGTTGGCGGTTGTTTTTCCAATAGCCGATTTGGGCTGCATACCACTGTGGAGGCAAAGCGACCTCTTGTACTGTATTCACATGGCAGTTGATGATTCCACCGATGCATCCACTAGAAAGGTTTATTAACCCATCATGTTGTTGCTTTGATTCCTACCAAAACCCATCATTAGTACTTCTTTCATCTCCATTCTCTTTTGGAATTTTTTTTTTTTTTTTCAAAAATGTCTTTCTCACTGTACGACATTTCGGGTGTCAAAGAGGTGGTTTCATCCATGACTGGCGGTAAAGACATATTTACCAACCTGACTTGGGCTGGTGTACCTCTCTCCCTCGCTCTCGCAGCTCTTCCTCATTGGTATACGATCTATTTGGCTGAATCCAACAAAGTTCAAGGAGGATGGTCCAACGTTAATCCTAGATTTTGGGTTCAAAGTCTTATCGCAAAGAGCAACACTCAAAAATTATCTTCTCTCGAACTTACCATTCTTCGCGGTCAGAGTTGTCAAGCCAACGCTTTCGAAAATGTACCTCTCTTCATTGCAACTTTGGTTTTTGCAAATTTTGCACGTCTTGATCAAGAGGTTATCAATAGGTTCGTGGTTGGATATCTGGCAAGTAGAACAATGTATACTTTGTTTTATCTAAAGTGCTCAAAATATGCCAGCTCGTTTGCTAGAACTGTTATGTTTCAGATAGGCATCGTTTGGATCATTAGTATTTGGTTAAAGGCTTCCTTTAAGCTCCTGCCCGAGCTTAAGTAGCCACATTTCCTTGGATATTGCTCATACATGCCAGCTCAGCAACGCAACGTCGTAAACAGCAAAAACATCAACATCGAAATCCTCGCCCAACTCTATTTTTTTTTTAATTTTTTTTGTAACCATTTTGGAGACGTATACATACGGGCCTGTACATGCCCAAAATTCGCTTTTCAATGATTTCACCTGGTTGCTCGCTGCTTCATCCCCCCAACTCAAGTTTTGCATACACCTCGTGACACATTTGCACAACGGCTGTTCGGAATACCATTACTGAATTTCCATATCGTGCTATCTGTGGAATGTGTGTGTCTACAACTTGCTCGCGAATCTAGCCCTGAGCACATTCTTCTGCACCTTGCCCGTGCTCGTCTTGGGCAGCTCATCTACGATATCGAACCATTCCGGCACTGCGAAACCAGACATCCTCGCCTTGCAGTGTTTCCTCAACTCGTCCACCAATTCGACATTCTCCTTGCTTCCTTTCTTCTTCAACTCTCCCACTTTCAACTTGGCCTTGGCCTGCTCGGTTAGAACGATGAAAGCCTGGCCTCTCTCACCCCATTTCTCGTGGGGACGAGCAATGACGCAGCATTCCAACACATAACTGTGACTCGCCAGCTCCTGTTCAACCATGAGACTCGAAATGTTTTCACCGCCGCTGATGATAATGTCCTTGCCACGGTCCAGGATTTGAATTTCACCACCGGGGTGTCGTACGGCAAGATCTCCAGTGTGGAACCATCCTTTCATGACCGCCTTGTCCGTAGCTGCCTTGTCGTTGTAGTAGCCCAACATGGTGATGTTTCCTCGAGTCACGATCTCACCCGTCTCTTTGCCGGTTCGCTCCACATCGATCAGATCCTCGGTGCTCGGGTCGGTGCTCGATTCGGTGCGAATGACGCGCACTTCGTCCGAGGTAAGGAACGAGTGTCCTTGACGAGCCATCAAGCGAGCGCGCGAGTCGACATCCAGCTGAGCCCACTCTGGCTCAGAGTACCTCCTCGTGAACGGACCGTAGGTTTCGGTGAGTCCGTATACGTGCACGGGGTAGAGGTTCAGTTCTTCCATCTTGGCTAGCAGGCTCGCTGTTGGGGCCGAGGCTGCCACCGCCACGTTGACCTTCTGAGCGAGCTTCTTTGCCATGGGATGGTTGACCAATCCGATCTGCACGGTAGGTGCGCCGGAGTAGTGCGTCACGCCGTGGTGCAGCAGAGCATCCCAGATCACACTGTTGTCCACCTTGCGAATGATGTAGTGCGTCGCATGCGCCGCTGTCACCGCCCAGGGGCAAGCCCAACCGCACGCATGAAACATGGGCAAAACCCACAGGTAGACGGAATCCTGAGTGATTTGTGCCTCGAACGCGTTCGAGACGGCAGCAAGGAATGCTCCACGGTGGTTCGTGAGCACGCCTTTGGGTCGACCGGTGGTGCCAGACGTGTAGCAGAGCGCAATGGGTTGTTCTTCATCCTTTGGCGCCAGGATGAGTTTCCAGCCGGTCTTGGGCTCTGTGCTAGGCTTGGTTCGAGCTTTGTACCTTTGCAGCTCGGCCTGCTCGGCCTGTTGCCAAGCCTGCCAGCCTTGATCGAGGAACTTTTCATAGCCGTCGGTCGGATCTTGTCCACCGCTGTCTTTACTGATCACGACGGTGACGTTGGGCCCTGGGTTTTCCGGGACCAGATGGGCAAACTCGTGATCGCATAGGATGATGGTCGAACCCGAATGTTCGAGAACGTATGCCACTTCCTTGGGAGTATTCCTGATGTTGATCGGAGTGATGATACCTCCAATAGCGGGAATTGCCCAGTGGGCATCCGAAATCAAAGGAGCATTAGGCGAGATGACGGCAACTCGATCTCCGACCTTGTAACCCGGTAGGGACTGCAGCGCAAATGCGAGCGAAAGCGTTCGAGCGGCCCATTGTTCATAAGTAAACGAGTAGCCGCGTTCCGGGTGGATTATGGCCGTCTTGCGGGGTGTGATGAGCGCAGCTCGCAACAGGAACGACACAGGGGTCAAGGAGCTGCGGTGGTGGGGGGTTTGCGGGTGTTGCGAGAGCGAGAGCTCGAACGGATGACCTTGAGGTGGTTGCGAAGAACGGGGTGGTGTGTAGGGCATCTTTGTTGGCTGTTTTTCGACGGTTCAGGTGACAGCTCGGAAAGGAGGATGAAGAATGAAGGATGTTGGCGGAATATAAAGTAGACGAGGTAGGGCGAAAGCAGAGCAGGTAGGAGGACGAGTACTCCGGCTTTTGTTGAGCCAAGTTGGTCAGGCGGGGAAAGGGTGAGAGGATGGCTGCCAAGCAAGAGCAAGAACCAAAGTATCGGCTATATCTTTGCGTGTGATTCTTTTTAATTGACCCGAAACCCATCATATTGTGCGGGGTAAGAAGATGGTTGGACTGAGAGCTTTGTCGCTGTTTTCTCGCGCGCTCCGTTTCATGACTTGAACATGGGCACTGTTCATCACCTTGTTGTTTCTCGTCCTCGCATTTCATTCACCATCTGCGATTGATTGGATATTGAGACAGCTCGACCCTTCATCAAGAGGCGCTAGGACAGACACGTTAGAATACGTGACTGAACACCGTGGCTATGAGATACATGTACGTGTTTGCCTTCGCACAAGCCAGTCAAGATGTTGAGTTTACCCACAGAATTGAGATGCACCGGTTAGCGGGCAAAAATCGGACCTTCCACAACCGGTACGCCGAAGTTTGATGTTGCCAATAAGCACCGACGGTTTCAACAGTACATTTGGTCTGAAAGAATATGCGACGCTAGCAGCTGTGGGCTTGGTAATGAAGTGGTCAAACATGCTGGCTTTAAGGGTTTTACCGTTTTACTCCAGTCCTTCGGGTTCGTGGGTTCGAACCCCACCCAAGCCACGTATTTTTGTTTTCAGCAAATTTAAATTCTGGCAACAACACCGATAGCAACCATTGTACTGTTGAGATACAGTCCCCACCAAGCATGGTGACGAAAATGGCGAGCCACTACCGCTTCAGCTCACAAAGCCATGCTCATTACGCAACCTAAAAGTGCAACAATCACTACAATGTATCACTGTTTGGATGGGATAAAAGATGGCCCACATTTGTAGCGACAACGGGAAGAAATGCTAAAAGAAAAACTCATAATAACCAATAGTTGAAGAGATGAGATAGCAACAATAGATGAAGCAATGTGCTAGTATATTTAATAAATGCAAGCCAGGCCACAGCATATTAACACTGCGCCTGCTTAAATACAACAAGGCTGATGTTAAGGCCGTAGGGTCTAGATACCGCGGGGCAGCTACAGCCGGGATAGAGTCTACGGGTACGGAGAGGTCGTAGGCGTAGGCGACACAGGTGGTCAGGGGTCAGAGCACACTACTGCATTGCTATAGAGCTAACTAAGTAATACATGCGACAAGGTCCGGAGGCAACCAGGCGGGGGCGGGGTAGTAAGGTCCAAGAGCTATCGGCCAACTCCCACCGCGGCGCTACAATGTTAGATTGCCAACGGTCGTATTCTGTTTACGGAGGGGCCAGCCGCGGTTGGGTGGTAGGAGGATTGTGTTAGGCTGACCGCTCCTCTGCGAGGGGTCCGGAGAGAGTCGGTCGGGGCCCGATCGCGACGATCGCTCAATCGGGAGGGGGGCCGAGCGCCCCTCTTTGGACTACGGTTGGTGGGGCACTAACGTTAATCTCCACCAGAGAGTGATGGATAGGTTGATGATGGGAAGTAAGAACAGGAATGAGATTGATTGAGGGAAGCAGTTTTGAGGGATGTCTATGCGGTATGATTGGAAGTGAGGAGAATAGGTGGCACCAAAGGTTTGAGCACTTAGTGCTGGCAGTAGGGACAAGCACGCTTAATCCTGTACTGCAGACAACTGTAGCCCTGTATGCATGCTTTTTGCTGCTGTCCAATTTGGAAAGTGTTGTTCTGAACTTAAAGTTTATATTTGTTTATTTTTTTTTGATTTTATTTTCTCTCTTTTACCAAATTCAATTACATTTACTGTAATTGCTGCTGAGTGTGGCGCTGTTGCCAAAAAAAGTAACACACACAGGGTTGGTGAAACCCCTAAATCCCCTAATTCAAGCATGACAACTGACTGCATGGAAAAGAGTCTGACAAAAACGCCAACAAGAACCATGGTGTCACTTTTCATGAGATCCCATGCATGTTGCCACCTTCCATTGATGCAACTTGTGACGTGAACTACTCAGTGCTTGCCATCGCTACAAAGCGAACAGACTGTCATGAGTGGTGTTGTTGGAACATGTGCTTCCGGCTGCTTCGGAAGGTTGGGGGACCAATGTAAACCTGATTCATCATGTGATAACAAAGCTTGTTTTAAGTTAATGGGCTACACCCCTGTTGCTCCAGACACAAAGACTGCGCTTTTGAATGCTATAGATCCCAAGAAGAAATGTGATTTTGCGGAGCAACGGCGAATTCTTGCTTTTTTGCTTTTTCTATTCACGTTGTGAGGCGGCGGCACGTCCGGCACGTCCTTGTCATGAGCTGCAAGCTTTGAAGTGATGCGCACGAGTTCCGATCGTCTGACCTACCGTATCACCGCCCCGATTCGGCATCTCACGTAATTTTAATTGTAATTTAGATGAAAACCCTGAACTACAGACAACGCGTGCTAAAGAGTTACCGGCGCTTCCGATTCGGTGTGACCGTTGGGCAACAGGCACAATTGCCAGCTCCTCTCATCTCACACATGGTTTTGAATTTTTTTGAAATTTTCTCTATCAACCTTTCATTCCAGATTACAAAATTCTCTCTCTTTAATCATACCTTTCTTATTGTACTCAACCTCATTTAGTTTCGATTTATCCATACACAATCGGCGCTCTCATTTCATATCGGCTCTTGCGCTTCCACTCAACACACTTTCTTTGCGTCCCTTCAAAGTGCCATTCAACCTCGTCGGAAACGTACATCAATTCGAGTAGCACTGACTGATAACTCACAAACTTAAATCTACACTTTAACTGAACTATGCCATACTTTCCAGCAACACCCAACATCATCAACGGCACAACAACCATGATCTCCGTTGCCCAAGTGCACCAAGATGCACCGACCGCAATCATCTCACTGTCATGGGCCTTGATCGTCATACCCTGCCTTTTTCTTGTCGCTGCCTTTGCTTGGATCATGTACAACTTTAGCACGCCTTCCGAATTCCATTCAGATAACGACTTCTCCCACACTGATACCATCGAGGAGCAAGTCTTTTCAGACGATCATGAGAAAGAGACGCTCTTGGATGCATTCAACCAATCTCAATCCCACTCAAACGCGTCATCCGCTTCTACTGACTCGAATTCTGCCTGGAAAATCAATGCCAAATTCAGCACAACCTCACGAGGCGGCTCTGTATACACTTCCTATCCGGATCTAAACCACACACGCTCTCCAAAGTCGAAACGATCAAGTCTAAATCTCCAAGCCAAATCAAATCGCAGCGTCGGCAGTAAGGCCGCAAAAGTGCAAGCATCGAATTGGCACAGCATGCTGCACCATCTCGAAAACCTCGATCCCATCGATAGGCAAGAGTTGCAAAGGTCTTCTTCGACAGCCAGCGACACTCGCAAGTCCGACTGACTTTCGACGCCAACCACAGACCAGAATCGTCTTCTCTTTGACTGCATCGCATTGCAATGTTCTCGCTGTATTTCTAGCATCTCTTCAATCGCAGGCCTCGCTATGCTCTCCCACAATTGATTCGCCTGATTCACACGTATCGCTCTACTTTCCACGAGCCTGCGCCTGGCTCCAACTCAAGACTCGTATTGCATGACGAAGCACGCATTTCGAGCATAAATATCCAATGGTCGAGGTTCTTAACTCAGCGCACAGAGTCTCACGACGCAGTTCATTCAAGATGCGCACCCTAGTCGTGGGCTCGCCTAGGTATCGCTGCACCTCGCCGATTTCGCATACATGTCTTTTGCACTCGGTCTTCATCCCCGCCAATGAAGCATTGGCGCCCCTGCGCATCTCTTTCCGCATCAGCTCCTGCCACATTCATCCTCGGCGCTTCCTCTCTAGAGCAGCTCAACCCATTGTTGCTGCGCTATAAACTCTTTGGCTGCCCACCAATCGACCAAAAGCATGCACACACAGCCGCTTGTTCTGCTGTGTGACGGAATGCTTATAACAATGCCACCATTCGTGCCAAAAAAGGTCTCCTCACATTCCGCAACCTTGACTTCTCTCAACCCCTATCCCTCTACTTCCTTGGTTCGTCGCCCAGACACTTAAGCTGCTCGCTATCCTTTCTTTCTTACTCACTCAGTCATTTTCACCCTCACTCTTTGGACTGCATCCACATACGATTCTCAGCGACAGCCATCACGATGGTGGAAATCACCCTTGCGGACAGTAGCAGCAAACTAGACGCTCAGAAGGTCCCGGATGCTGATGACAATGTCGAGGAACTCACTCAGCAACTGGCTTCACAATCCCTGGCACTCACCAAGCCGCGCATGTTCAAAGCCACTTTCTTCTGGGACAGGATCGTCTCAGACAACCTCGAAATGGACGACAACTACGTCTTTGGCTATCCTGGAATCTCGGCTTACAAGATGACGCATGTCTTGAAAGCATACACACAATATCGCAAGAGAACTAAAGGTGCATACTTTGACCAGGGTGAGCAAGCACAGGTCATTTCCGAGCTCTGCACGATGCTCGATTCTGCCCAGCTACTTGAAGACAACGAACTCCCCGGAATCTCCTTCTTTGACCCCCACATCATGCTTCACTGTCCAAACCAAAAGTCTCTCGTCAAGAGCGCCGAGCTTCTCGGTCGCAAGCACACCCTTTAAGGTTACAGGATGATCTCGTGTCGAGGGGCTTTCCCTTTCGACCTGCTTATTGGGGTTTCGAAGGGCTGATGGCAGATCCTGACGAGAAGAAGCTTACCAACAATTTCATGACCTACCTGTCCAAATACGTCGGACGCCTTGGAAAGACTCAGGTGTGTGGGCAAAGTTCTACGAGATTTCAGGTTTTCGGGCTAATAGGGCTTTTGCCGGAGATTTGTTTATTCTTACCGAAGCAAGTACCATCAGAGAGTACGGCCCCGTTCCTCCCTTTCGTGGCGTCAAGCCGAAGCGAACTGAATACGCTCGTTTGTTATAGGTTCAACAATGCCTTTTCGCATTGGACCATTATCAGACGTAACCACTGACACGAACTAATGAACTTCTGGCTACGCCTCAATCACACGTCTTGACACCCTTTCTGCTTGTAGCCATATAAAGATCAAACTACGCGAATCGAATCACCACGCAAACCCGCTTCAGAACGCGTACAACAATCGAGCCAAGCCCAAGTGCATGTGCAAGGGCTAGTGTTGAGCTTGCGTTTCGGTGAGGCAGGACCGCGCATTCCTCAAGTCACCGAGTCTGATACAGACGTTTGTAGCCCATATGATCAAGCGTCCAACGAGGATCTGACCGTATGGCAAGGACTGAGCACTTATTTAGCTCTGATACGACTTTGCTCAACTTCTCCTTAGCTCAATCGCACCCGAGCGCCCCGAAAGCCTCTCTTGTCACCTTGAAACACGCGTTTTACCTTGGATGTCCCTTTTCGTCTGGGCTCACTCCTCTCGTTTCACGCTGATCGAAACTGACAGCGTGGACCACAGTACTGAAGTGGGTGTATGCGGTGAATCATGTCTGGTATCAGGTCCCTAACCGTGTCTCCTTCGTCAGTTGTATACAAGGACACTGATCCGTCCGGACATACCGTGCTTAAGCTGATTTCTGAGAACATCGCGAAGAAGCTCAGTCGATTACGTGTTGGGACAAAATCATTCCTTGGACCTCCAAAAACATGACCATGGTCTTCGAGCTGCCCGATATTCTCG